AGAGAGAGAGAGAGAGAGAGAGAGAGAGAGAGAGAGAGAGAGGCATTTTAGGTGTGCAATGTGTCTGATTAATGCTCGCTTGTGCACAATATAGTGTCATGCTACATTTAGCTATTTATCCTGCTTTGTTTAATGTTGTAAAAGTTTGCTTTTTAACATGTAGCTTTATTTTGAATGTAGCGGAGCTACTGTTGTAACTCGAAAGAAAAATATATTCAAGTTAATAGCATTGCTACTTTTAGTTAGCTAGTGTGTTACCTTTTGTATGAGCTCCTCCTCGTGCAGCAGCAGTAGTTTGGTGATGTTATATTGCTGTTCTAGCACCAGTGCAAAATGCTCAATACATCGAATGGACAGCTTCTCTTTCAGAGTCAACACGATATCCTGCACACAGAGACAACTTCAATACTACACTGTCTACACACTAATACCTCACACTACACTCTCACAAAAATAAGGTTAACATCAAACAATAACTGATGGATTTCCTGCAGTATCGCTGGACCCCAAAGTACTGAAGTTGAAGCTAAAGCTGATGTAGAGTGCAGAAGAGAAAAGAAAAACAGCAGTCTAAAACCTTGACAGTGGTGGTCTTGTGAAATTTGAAGGCTTTGGTCTGGCCGTTCTCCAGGTACACCTTCAAAACGTTGGGCAGGAAGAGAAGAGAGTTTCCCTGGAAACAATCAATGAAACATGGCTTAGGAAAGCAGCATGCCATCATGTTTTGATGAAAACAAATATACCAACAACAAATGTATTGTCATGCACCGCTGCTCATGGTCATGACTGGTTAGTACAAAACTATTAACCAGGCTGCATCATACCCTTTTTGGTCCAAGTGTAATCCTGACCAGGGTTGGTGTGAGAGTTGAGTATGTGTGTGGCTTTACCTGAGTGTGTCCATTGACGACCACCTCCTCTGCAAAGCGCACTTTAATGGGGTTTCTTCTCAGACGAGCTCTCTTCTCTGCGGTTATGAATGAAGACTTAGGATTCTGATGATAAAAAAATAAAAAATTTCTTTAAATTCTGAGCTGGACAATGGCACTATGGTCTTCTGTAGAGTTGCTTTAAGGGGGGACACCAGAGACTTATATTACATATTGTAAAAAGAGGCATAATATGTCACCTTTAAGTCATTTCATAATTGAAGAATTTTTGTTTATCACTGTAAAGCTGATTTGAAACAATCTGTATTGTATAAACTGCTATATAAATAAATGTGACTAGAATTGACTTGAACTGGTGAAAGAATGCAGAAAATCCAGAACCATTAACAGAACAAACCCCACCCCCCACCACCTCAGTTTCAACATTTAAAAGAAAACCGGATTTGAATAAGAACCGGTTCTTGATTCCCAACCCTACCACTATCTGACTCAACAACAACATACTGGAAGAAGAATCTTAAGTACACACCGCCATATTTCTGAGGATCGTCATGGTTACAGAGTCCTGGCAATCCCTGAGGTCGGAACATAAAATATGAAAAAAATGACACTACCAAATCATGAGGTCATGACATCATCATATTTATGAGTGGGGCAAGAAACAAGCAAGCAATATCAACTCAGCAAAGTTATTTTAGCTGTGTTCCTCTAATCTGATCAGTTACCTAATCATCTGCTCCACGTTTTCAGGCGAAAGATCTTCTATGGCCTTATTGTTCACTTTTAGGATTTGATCTCCAGGAAAAAGCTGACCGTCTGCTGGGCCTCCTACAAATAAACACACACACACACACGTAAGCATTAAAATACAACTCTAGTTTCATGCACGCTGAACAGTACCTTCAATGTAAGTCAATGTCTGTTTTATATTCTTACAGGCAAAAAGTCTGATCACTGAGAAAATAAAGAACACACCTCTCACAGACCTGCCAACCTTGGAACAATTTTTTGAGTACCATCAGTGTGACGGCACATCAGAGTATTTTTTTTGCAATTTGCAATTTAAAATGCTATTTAGAAAAAACTCCAGTACACTTTAATTAATACTCCAGTACACTTCTGTACACTGTAGAAAAACATGGATTATCATATGTCTACAAATTTGTTTTGAGAGAAGTATTATTTTTATGGATTGGCCATTTAGCGCTATACACACATCTGTCTGCTTCATTCATGCTGATAGAAGCTCCTGATGTTCCAGGAAATCCCTAATATGGACAAAGACAGCTGTCGCTGTAACTGAATAAAAAGAAGATATAAACGTTTTGAATGATAAAACATAAAGACAATAAACACTCGACTGTGACAATGTATTGTTTATCTGTGTTCTTCAAGCCATCTCAGGTATACACACAAACAGAGCCAGTTCGGAGAGAAATAAAACGTGCTGAAATTATTTAAATGCAAAACCGATAAAAAAAAAAATGAAGTAATGACTATTGTACTGTCCTCGCTTAAGAAATCAGTCAGACAGCGGGAGTGGAAGGGGGATCGAGCAGGATTTGGTGTCAAATTGCAGTCTCTTTTTAATGATAGGCCTTACACATTTGTCAATCCTCCATGCTTGCTATTTGGGGAATGAACCCAGCGCTCTGATTGGCCAAACTCTTCTTCTTTTGCTGTTGTTTGATTTGAGTGCTGTGCGTGGACACAGGCGTAACCAGGTTTTTGCAAAGTTTAGTGCGACATATCGTACCAGTGTACTTTGAGGTCAAAATGCATACCTGCTACACAAAATACGTACAGGTTGGCAGGTCTGCTCTCATCAATAAGCCATGATTCAAGTTATGTGCCACAGTTTAATACTTTTTATAGGTTTGTTCAAATAACTAACCTTTATTGTAAGTAAAAGTTAAAGTGATGCAACTGAGATGAAAATTCTGGATCAGATTTTTTTTTTTTTTAATGTTTTTGAAAGACAACGTCTCTTATGTTCACCAAGGCTGCATTGATTTGATTAAAAAAAACAGTAAAAATGGTAATATTGTGAAATATTACTATTTAAAATAACTATTTTCTTTTTTAATATATTTTAAAGCTGAATTTTCAGCATCACTACTCCAGTCTTCAGTGTCACATGATCCTTCAGAAATCATTCCAATACACTGATTTGCTGTTAAAGAAACATTTCCGTTATTATCAATGAATGTGTAATGGGTTTGTTTAAATCACTAACCCTAACTATGAGTAAAAGTCATAGTTACAACAATGTGATTGCGGAAGTTACATTGTTAATTCATTATTCATATCACGTCTGGTGCTTCTGTTGGTGGAGTGTCTGGCTCTGAGTCTGTTCGTCTCTGCACTGCTCTGTTCTGCAATTTACACTCATTTGTCTTCAAGCCAAACTACACACACACACACACACACACACACACACACACACAATCTGCCCTTCTGCCCTGCAACATCCCCTTAGTCCCCGATGGATCTCTGCCCTGCCAGAACCAACCACCGATGCCTGGCAGATCTCTCTCTCTCCTTCTCCTTTCACATAATTATGTGCTGCAGGGCTGTGAGGTTCTCCCTCTGGGCTTTTATCAGCTGTTTCTGCTGCAAAAAGAGAGAAGTCAGCACTGCAGAATGACTGTGTGTGTGCAAGAATGCACACACAATAGCTTTGTTGCAAGATCCAGTGTGCTGCCATGCCGTCTAGTCTTTATACACAGCTGCCTTCTAAGGTGACTAAAATGGAACCTTATAAGTGGCTGATTTAGATTTGGAATACAAAGGCGGGAAACATTCATTCAGGGATTTATCGCTTGAGATTCATTGAGATTCTTGCTAGAAGACATTAAAAAAGATGTCAGCTGAGTCTGTGTAACTAGGGCAATGATGTTGACATGCAATCTCACACTCATCTCATCTTGCCTGCCATTCTCTGCCTATTTTCTTGTGAAATTGGTTTTATTCACTATTATGTTACTCTCCTAATGTGAAGACATAGTAAACAATTTGTAAAAAAAATATTTGAACGAATGCCATTGATTCAATGCACGCTCCAATTTGCAAAAGTCACGTTACATTATTCTACTGATTTGCACGTGAAATTGGGCTTTTATGGAGGAACGAAAACGCAGCGCTGGAAAAGGGGCGGAATGGGGCGCAATAATCGTTTTATCTCGATTATTGTATTTTCATAATCGTTGGAGGCCAAAAATCCAAATCGAAACCGTTTTTCGATTAATTGCACAGTCCTACAATGAATGACAGAATCAACTCATAATTTATTCAGATAGAGTTTGATGTTAGCGTGTTGCTAAGCTAAAAATGCTATATGGTAATATAATAGTGTACAGGGTTCATGAAAATATGGTAATTATTTGCTACTAAAAACAGTTCAGGTCTTTGTCTTGAACTTGGAGTAACTAGTAATATATAATGTATTACATTTTGGAAGTAACTTGCCCAACACTGTAAATCAAGCACGCTCCAATTTGCAAAAGTCACGTTACATTATTCTACTGATTTGCACGTGAAATTGGGCTTTTATGGAGGAACGAAAACGCAGCGCTGGAAAAGGGGCGGAATGGGGCGCAATAATCGTTTTATCTCGATTTGGAATTTAAAACCGGTTACTGTCTTCTGATAGTTAGCGAAGCATTAAAAAATAATCTAAACTGATAAATAACAGATTGGAGATTAAAATAATACCAGATTTGTCTAATTTTAAATGAGTAATAAAAACTGAGATGAAAAATTTACTTAAACCCGAAATATAATTTTACTATGGTAAAATAAATGTCCAGTGATATCTTCAAAAGACTTTTGAATTTTGGTGCACTTTTTTTCTCTATATACTGTTGATATGGTAACTAGTAAGTGCTGTAAATTTGGTTATGCTAGCATGTGTGGAAATATTTAAACCACGTGTGTTACAACTTACCCCGCGTTACTTTGTGCCCCGCGCTCCCCTATATTCAAACTAAAACAGTAGTGACTTCAGTTAAGGTATTAAACTACATATTTCTGTTAAATATGGCTTTTTTTTTAGCTTTTGGTAACTGCTGCTCTTTATTTGCACTTCAATATTTTGCACAAGAATATTGAGGTAGGAGAGACTGGGGGCATTTGTAACACACTCAACTCCTCCAATCAGAAACAAGCTAGAGTGATGACACTGTATCTGCACATGCTCAGTAGGGTTCTCTCTCTGCCTGTGAAAAAGGAACACAATCCTTTCACCTCAGAAGAGTGTTTCAACAAAATACTGATTTTGAGGTATGAAAGTTAATTTTTGGAAGTACAGTATTTTTCTTCTGCTGTTTAAAGTTTAGATGACTGCGAATTTAAACTTACATGCATTTTATCTCTAGGTTATTGATAAAAAATGTACATGAATAACCTATGCTAATATAAGTGTGGCTAGCTAGCATAGAAGATTTTATCATAGCTGCAACATTGTGTTACAATTGCCCCCGAGCCACACGGCCCAGTGTTAGCACCTTGTTTGTCTGTGTTGACAAACTTTTCTGTTAGAAAATTAACATATTTAAATGTAAAAACAATTATCAGTGTTACACATTAAACAATGTGTTGCTTTTAAATCTTTTTTTTAAATACAATGAATATTATCTCCACATGATCGCATTGGGTTATTCTGTTAATGTCTGTCTTGTACCATTTCACTAAAGTTTGGTTAAAGACTGTTCTTGACTCATCAGCTGATTAATGTATTTGAGTAAAATATACTGTATATAAATAATTCAAATCTAGTAACCACTAGAATAGTTGCTTAGTCTTCAACTTTTTGAATGCATATGCCTGACATCTAAAAGAATTAGATCCATATTTAAGTAACATTATTAGATACTACAGCAGTAAAGTGATTACTCTGAGGAAGGCTTTTATTTGAGATACAGTGGGTTAATATGACTTATTTTTCAGTGTTACAGTTGCCCCCAAACACTGTTACAATCACCACCACCAAGGGGGCAAATGTAACACTCTGACTTCTTGCATTTAATTTAATATTATAGTCTTGACCTTATTAGTGAAAATATATCTCCTATAAAATATGCACCTATATTTGTTTCTAGTATCAAAAGATAACTAGTGTATTTCAAGTAGTCTGTGAGTTATGAAAGAAAATGTAAAAACAATGTTACAATTGCCCCCAGTCTACCATATTTATGTAGTATTTTTGGTCAGTAAATTTTTTTTCTTTAAATTAATATTCAAATTCAGCAAGGATGCATTAAATCAATCAAAAGTGATAGTACAGACCTGTACAGCAATTCACATTTAAAATAAATGCAGTTGTTGAACGTTCTATAATTCAACTACTATTCATACTTTCTACTATTCATCAAAGAATCCTGAAAAAAATGTATCATGGTTTCCACAAGAATATGAAGCAGCACAACTGTTTTCAACGCTGATAATAATAAGAAATGTTTCTTGAGCAGCAAATCAGCATATTAGAATGATTTCTGAAGGATCATGTGACACTGAAGACTGGGGTAATGATGCTGAAAATTCAGCTTTGCATCACAGGAATATATTATATTTAAAAATATATTCACATAGAAAACAATTATTTTAATCTTTACTAATAAATATTACAATATTATTGTTTTTACTGTATTTTTGATCAAATAAATGTAGCCTTAGTGAACATAAGAGACTTCTTTAAATGAGAGGATGAGGAACAGAATCTCAGAGTTGCAGTAATTTCAACATGAACTCAGCATAATAAATATGAAAATACATAGCAGACTGCAAATATTGGATGAATAGTCCACCTTTAATTAGAAGGAACTATTTTTATTGATATTTTTCAGAATTTAATAAAAGTTTCTTTGGCTGTAGGCTATCTTTTTTGCACAGCGCTGACTGCAATGCATTCTGGGACTGACTTCTGTCAAGGATACATGCAATATATGTTGCCTTAGATTTTAGTCAAAAAAAGACCTTTGAAACAACAGTAGTGCATCTATGTTGTCTTGAATGCTATCTAGTTAGGTTTTGTATTAGTTTTTATGTGTTGGTACTATGCGTGTGAGAGAATGTGTAGTTCTAGTCAGTAACTGTCAGTTCAAAATGAGAATAAATATAATCAGCTTGTGTCAGTGTGTGTTTGTGTATGAGAGACAGATATTTTTTGTGAAGGAGCTTGTTACACCTGCATCATAATGAATTAAATAAATGACAGAGGAGCAGGTGGCCACGTCACACACACCAGCTCAAGTGTCACATCCTTTCTCACAGTTTCACCATCTCTGTCAAAGCAGCATAGAGGGTGAAAATTCAATCTGATGCAGCAGTGAGACTTCACAAACATCCAGTGGAAGAGCTTATAAATGAGGTTTTTTTTTCTCAGGATAAACATCTGAGAAGCAGGACAGAGCTTAATTTAATCTTATTGGTGTCTCAGAGAAATATAAGAGATCTTAACAGGATCATTGGTGTTGGTTCTTTCCTCTGGGTACATTTTCTCACGCACAGTCAGGACAGTATCCAAACTTGGCTTCGCTTAGATCATAATCTGTGTTTAAAAACAACCTGCTGTAGCGCATCCCATAAGCCAAACTCCACGTGAAGTGTGTGTGTGTACCTGGAGTGACGTCCCTGACCAGCAGGGGGTGCTGTGATGAGAGAGTGAATCCATGGGAGTCCAGGACAGCGTCTCTGATCACCTCCACTGTTACCTTCACAGGGAAGTTCTGCTGGCCCGAATCCCCAGAGCGCGACCTCCTGCCTCCTAAAATACGCTCCCTTTGAGAGACAGATAGAGTGCAGAATCAGACAGACATATGACAACACACAGGCTGTGTTCAAAATGAAATACTAGTGTACTGCTTGATCTATTAGTGTACAGTACAGCACTATAAACTGTCTTCAATTTAGAAATTTTAATAACATGCATTTTTGTATTATTTTTAAATACAAATTTATAATATATACATAAACATTACTGTTCAAAAGTTTGGGGTCAATAATATTTTTTTATGTTTTTTTTTTAATTCTCACCAAGGCTACATTTATTTGATAAAAATTACAGTAAAATCAGTAATATTGTGGAATATTGCTACAATTTTAAAAAGCTGTTTTCTATGTGAATATATTGTAAAATGTAATTTATTCCTGTGATGAAAAGCTGAATTTTCAGCATCATTACTCCAGTCTTCAGTGTCACCTGATCCTTCAGAAATCATTCTAATATGCTGATTTGCTGCTCAAGAAACATTTTTTTCTTATTATCAATGTTAAAAACAGTTGTGCTGCTTGATATTTTTGTGGAAATCATGATATATTTTTTTCTTTGTTGAATAGAAAGTTTAAAAGAACATCATAGAAATCTTTTGTAACATTATTTTCTTTACTGTCACTTTTGATCTATTTAATGCATGCTTGCTGAATAGAAGTATTAAAAACTTACTGAGCACAAACTTTTGAACAGCAGTGTACATTTTAAAAAATATTTTTATGTTTGCATTTTTTAACATTTGTGCTGTGCTAAAATCCTTTACCTAATTTGGTGTTCCTGGTCAAAAGCAAAATTTGACCATGTTTGAGCAAAGTAAGTAAGTTTTAGTCCAATGTGATAACATTAACTAGCATTTTATGGAACAGAAATCAAATCAGTGAAAAACCACATGAAATGACGTCACTATATGCCGAGAGACTCTAAAACACATGGCGATGTTAACTGCCTGATGAACGTGTGGTTGCATGGCAGGAGACGACTGTGTTTATACCAGCGGGAGAAAGACAAATGAACTACAAGCCCACAGCAGATGGAAGTATGAGAAGATCTCGAAAGCAGTTCTCATGAGCTTGTGTGTTTAAGTAAGAGAAAACAAGGAAATATTTGCCAGCTAAACATTTATGTAGATGTAGATATCAATTAAGTGAAGTATAGTTTAACGTTATCTGAAGAAAAAGAGCCCACAGCGAAATCTCTCTACCACTCTCAACAAACACTGAATCTCGTCAGCTTCACAAAGCTGGAATTTATGGTAGGGCCCATCTGGAAACCAAGGCCAATATCTTAAAACCTGTGACCCCAATTAATGGAAAATAGTGCTATGATCTGATTAGTGTTCTTTCCCTATATCTGGATGGGTTTGGAGAAAACCAAAAGATGGCTTCAACCCACACAGTCTGTTAAACACATGGCAGATCCGTCATGGTTCAGACTGACTGGTTTGGTGGTTGCTCTGTGTGTTGTCCACAGCCCATGCGACATTGCATCATCAAAGTGTGCACCACATCAAAAGATGACTACAAAGGCTAAGAGCACCAATTGGGACAGAGCCGTCAACCGTCTTCCATGGCTAAATCTAAACATCATTAAAACTGCCTGTGATGTTCTGGAGCTCCAAATATGAAGGCCGTTTCACATTTATAGGCTTTTCTCTCCTACAAATGCCTTCAAGAAACGCATTTCTTCTCTGATTATAATATTATATGTCTGTGTGTGTGAGGTTACTCCACCTGCTGAGAGAGTCTCGAGAGCGGCGCAGCCATTTCCCCACCACCTGCTCCACCCGACCGACCCTGCCTGGAGATCGACTTCTGCTTCTTTCTCGCTCCTCCATCTAACTGAGAGATAGAAAGACAAAGTGATGAGTGAACAGAAAATAAGGATGAGGATCATACAGTGTAAAACACTATTTTTTAACTCAACATCAATATAAAAATTGACCATATACTAACTTTTTTAAAGACCCATGATGCCAAAACCAAAGTTTTATGGCATGTTGTCCATGTTAGTTAGCTTTTAGGTCATTATTTTAATGTACTCCTAAAAGCAGGTACTGTACACACTACCCTTCAAAACTTTGGGGTCGATAAGATTTTTAAAAATAAGTTTCTTATGCTCACCAAAGCTGCATTTATTTGATTAAAATATGGTAAAATCAGTAATACTGTAAAATATTATTACAATTTTAAAGAATGGGTCTCTATTGTAATATAATTTAAAATGTCATTTATTTCTGTGATCAAAGCTGAATTTTCAGCATCATTACTCCAGTCTTCAGTGTCACATGATCCTTCAGAAATCCTTCTAATATGCTGATTTGCTGCTGAGGAAACAATCACTATTATTATCAGTGTTAAAAACAGTTATGCTGCTTTAAATTCTTGTGGAAACTGTGATACATTTTTTCAGGATTTTTTGATGAATAGACAGTTCAAAAGTTCAAAAGAAGCATTTATTTTTGAAATAGGAATCTTTTGTAACAATACAACTATATTTACTGTCACTTTTGTTGAATTTAATACATCCTTGCTTAATAAAAGCATTAATCTTACTAAGCTCAAACTTTTGAACACCAGTGTATGCATTTTAAACTTGTTTAAAATTGCAGTCCTGTTGCAACTTCCCGTTTCAAAAGGAAATCAACACAGGAAAAAAAACCTCAATGATTTCACAGAGCAAACAAGAAATGGCATTCACAATCCATTTTACATCGTTAGTGAGTCAAATCCATTTACTTCAATTACCGATGTATTTCAGATGCAGCTTATTTCATCCTCCTTCATTCATATTCTCATCTCAACAACACTCTCTCTCTGTCCTGTCTGTGTGCTGGGTTTTATGTATGCAAATAGCAGTGGCACAGTCATGAGGTGACACCAGGCCTGGCATTTAGAGGACAATCTACGTCACAACAGACAAGATATCACATGCATAATAACATCAGCCATCTACAGATGATAGAACTGCACACTGCACCTATGCAACACGCACACATTCAGTCCGTCTAATTACCTGAACAGCTTTTCTCGCTCCTCTGGACATCTGCTGCTACAAACACACATGCATCTCTCTTTTTCAGCCACACACTGTTGTAAGTGTGTGTTATCTCTGCAGTCAGACACACAAGGGAGCTCTTACACACTCACTCAATCACTCACAAACCACAACTGCTCTAAACCGCACTGTGTGTGTTTGTATCTGTGCTTACAAACACATTCTGAATGTCTGATCAATATGCACAGTTTTCTTCTTCTGTGTTTCGTCATGCTCAGAATAATCTGCCTGATTATGCACTGATTTGCTGGTTGCATTGCATGCTGGAGAGGGTCATGTGACCTTTCACCTTTGCTCTACGAGTCAACCATTGCGTATGGATTCAGTCTAAACCTGATGTCTATGAGGTTTTGGGACTATATGTGACCCTGGACCACAAAACCAGTCTTAAGTCGCTGGGGTATATTTTTAGCAATAGCCAAAAAAACATTGTGCCAAAAATCATTAGGGTATTAAGTAAAGATCATGTTCCATGAAGATATTTTGTAAATTTCCTACTGTAAATATATTAAAATTTAATTTTTGATTAGTAATATGCATTGCTAAGAACTTCATTTGGACAACTTTAAAGGCGATTTTCTCAATATTTAGATTTTTTTTTTGCACCCTCAGATTCTAGATTTTCAAATAGTTGTATCTCGACTAAATATTGTCCTATCCTAACAAACCATACATCAATGGAAAGCGTATTTATTCAGCTATTTATTATGATGTATACATCTCAAAATTGACACAAGACTGGTTTTGTGGTCCAGGGTCACATATAATAATTTACAAGAATGCCATGAAATACTTGTCATTTGCAAGCAACGGTAAGAGTATTAATCAACAAAACCCGACACATAGTCTAATGCAAAAAAAACAAACAAAAAAAAAACAGATGGAAACTCATGCCCTAGCATCCTTTAAATAGATATATGTTGAAAATTAACAAACTTAAACTAACTTGCTCAGCAAGATTCACTTCAAACAAATTGTTTTATTATTACCAGAGAAAAATTACCGTAGAAGAAAACAATTAGTGAAAATAGGTGTGTTGCTTTATGGATTGTGTTCTAACACTTTTCATAATGCAACAATGTGTAAAATCAATCTTGTGTAACTAGACAATGTTGTTGATGTTAAGTAAAACAATTACAAATAATTTTCATTAATTTGAATAAGACTGAAATAGTAAAACTTAGAATAAAAATAGAAATGTTGCCTTGGCAACCAATTGAAATAAAATAATTTGAAGTACTAATATATTAAGTAGTAATATATTATTATTAAGTACTATATATATTATATAATTAATAAAAAATTACAATAGCAAATAACAAAATTACCAAAACGAACTAAACTATTAAATATTAAATTGAACTATTAAGTGAAAACTATAGCAGTACATAAATAATGATGAAACAACACTGTAGCTAGAAGTGTTTATATTCACATTCTTACATATTCACAAACAGACAGAATAGGAGATACAGAAACAAAATAGGTAGAGACAAGTATGTGTAAGCGCGACCTCCTTCAAAGCTGCCGAACAGGGAAAGAAAGAGCTCATTCATATGACTGACAAAAGACCAGATCAGACCCGTTTTATGTTTGGTCTGCGTTACAGAACAATGATAATAAACCAGTGCTTTTGGCCTTTGAATACAGACTGCTTTGACTGACACATGCATGGCGCTGCCTGAATACTAGAATTAAATAGATGAAATCAACATTTCCAATTCACTTTCTTTATAAATTTCCCTGGTTTTTAGTATGCCTCATTCACATTACTCTAAACAAAACGTTTTGCAGTGTCTAATGTTTTGGAGCGTTTTTAGTGGGCTGTTATGCAGTTGCTACTAGGTTTCTCTGTTTGATTTGTTGTGCCCCAGTTTAAAACTATGATCACTTAGTAAAGTAGCAGCACACCTTTCCTCACACATGACTTGAGGAATTTCTGCTCTAGACGTATTCTAGAAATTAAACTTATGTGTGTATGAGTTACACACATAAGTTTAATAGTTAGGATTAAAGGACATATGATATACATACAGTATATGAGCCACAATAATAGTGAAGCTCCACTCATAGCCTAACATCCAAGATCTGATGGATAAAATTAAGTTCTGACCTACATTACTTCATACTAAATATTCACACTGAATATTCAAATGCTGCTTCATGCCGTCTGTAAATTGAAAACGCATGTAAACCCAGTTTAGATGACCTCTTGACCCCCAAGGCTCCTCGAGCGCAGCTATAGTGGCTCTCATGGTACTGTGACAAACGTGATTAATCCAGCGTGCAATCAGAGCGCTGAACATGTGCGTGTGTGTGAGGTATTACTGGATTAGTACGCCCACCTAGTAAGGGTGTCACTTAGTCACTCGTGCTGATCCGGATTGATCCGGATCTACAGATCTGAGTCGGGCAGCTGCACTGCGCTTATGCATTAAGTGGGAGATGCTAATGATATTTCATAGCTGCACAGTAAAAAGTAAAAGTTAATTGGATGCAAATAAAGTGACTGCAGATAATAAAACAGTAGGGTTTTGTTTTGAGAATTTATGCACTGTATACAGCACACCTGTGTGTGTGTGTGTGTGTGTGTGTATGTTGACTCAGGTAAGAGCCACCCTTGTGGAGTCATGAAGATGTCTGCTGTGACAGTTTCAACTCCTGTTCATCCATAAAATCATGAGGCCTCTTCTCTCTCCACCTGCATTTCTGCATCTTCTGCAAGACTCAAATCAAACAGCCATTAAACACAGCTCTCAATTTCTGTCCAAGTCAATGTGTAACCTCCACACTTTTGTATTGATTTTTAATAAAGTCATATTGCAAAAGGTTTTTCTTAAAGCACATACACACTGGAGAAAGCTCTCAAAGCAAAAAGCTAACCAAGTTGGCTAGGTTCATGGAATTGAATCTATTAGATGATATTATTAAGTTTTGTTTTAGGCACTTAGTACAAGTGTGTTGACTGCCTCCAGTACTAGTTGTAGTAAAACAAGTTCAGTTTACATGAAGAAATGTTGGAAATTGATAGCACATTATTTTCTCCATAAGTCTCCATTGCTTAAAATGAAAGATTAAATCCATTTTGATATTAATAGTACTTAGGGTGTTTGCAGTACAAACTATAACAATGTACTGTAATATTAGCTAAAACTGACATCTTAAACTAACTTGATAGTTGATACTTATTAATTTATTCAGGAAGAGTCTGCCTTCTTTACTTTAGCTAATTACTTACTTTAACTTAGTTTCCCTTCAAGTTTGCTTTGCAAAATAAAGCAATAGTAAACTGAAATGGTTATACTTTACGGTGTAGTTTAAGGTCCCACACGTTTTTCACAGTATAAAACAGGAAAATAACAGTGTTAATTTAGTAAAACTAATCAATTATGAAACAACTTCAATTTCAGAGCAGCTCTACTGAAGACAATAGTGTCATTATTCATCTCAATTTAGTTCAGTGTTGTTTAAAATTAGTTTAAAGATGAGCATAACTGGAAAAATGCATATTCACTATTGAAATGTAAACAACATTTTTTAAAGATTTTATTAATTTCAGTGACATATTCAGGCCTGGAAAACATATTCAGGTTTATACATGGCTGTACAGAAACACAGAAATGTGTGTACATGTGTTTAAAATTTCTATCCAAAGTTAATACTCATTATTTCACACACATAACTTGAGATCTAGTTTACATGCCACTAAAATCCTCACTCAAAACTTAAGAGTATCTGGCAAACATCTAATGGACAAACCTTGCAGATTCAGTAACTGTTTGAAACTGGTAGTTTCAACACGTTCTTGCCACTTTTGTGATAATATGCATCAGCAAATGGGCTTTGAGTAGTTCATCTCAAGCTGAGACTAGACAGTTCTTGGCCAAAATACTGTAAGATGCAGTGTGGACCAGACTTTATGCTGATAGAAGTCAGGCTCTGTGAGACTACATCCAGCCTCAGTATTTCATTCAGGTCCTCTGAGAGCGTCTGTAATGACATTGCAGCCTCCAGTGGTACAGTATAAGTGCTCAGATTTAGACACTCACACTCAGCTGCTCCCGCTCACAATCACTCAGCACTCCTGTTAAGCTAAGTGATTTCTGTCATTTTCTGACAATCTCACTCCACTAACACTGCACAATTCAGTCAAAATCATTGACTGCAATCATTCTGTCACACTCAAACTCAACTAATAATGCCTTAATGCAGCATTACTACCGTCTCTAGAACTCATGCTCTAATAACTTCCCACACCTGCATACTACTAGTGTGTACTGCTCTTTGTATATAACTGTTTTAAATTTATGTACGTGTTGTTTACTGACATATAGGGCCAGTTGTCTTGATATTTTGTTACACGCTGGGCCATGGTTCAGGAAGATCAATATTTCATTCTCTTACACTTGGCCTGTAATGAAGCGAATGGCAATAAACCTAACTTGACTTTTATACAGTCTGGCCCCATGACTGCAGTTTCAGCAGCGTCGGTTTCCAGGTCTCTTTTCTTCAATATATCACCAAAAAGGGCCGAGATGTCTCTTTTGAGACAAAAGAGATGATGTTTCATTTTTGTAAGCGATGACCGCTGGGCACAAATGAAAGCTGCTGAAAGAAGCCTACATTCATCTTTTGATCCATTAAAGGAATATTCCAGGTACAATATAATTTAAGCTCTATTGCTAGCATTTATGACAGAAAATCATCCATCAAGAACTTATTTACAGTAATATATTTAGAGATTTTAGGGTTCTGGTTCCTTAATGATTTGTTAAAGATTATTTGAGGAAGAAAAAACAGTATTCTCATGAGCCTAATCCCAAATCATTTCAACCAAACAATACCGACAAATTAAATTTAAATTGCATTCAAAAACTATTATTTTCAGGTGCCCTTCATGGAGCCAAAATGTCAAGAAAAATAAAAAAATATTTCTTGATATGGAAACAACTCTATAGAACCACCAATTATCAGTAGTAAATTGGAGAAACAAAGCTATTTGAAACTCTGAATAAGCTGAAAAAATCACTTTTCACAAAAGAGGCAAACTAGCTCTTTTAGAAGCAATCAAATATTCTTCTTTTTTTTTGCATTATATACAAGTATTAAAATTCATAACATTAATCAAAAATGAACCTACATTATAAAAATGACCTGAGATCACTTAAAAACCATTAGACACTCGTTCATGGGTTCACCAGATCAATACCATCTAGAACCCTCAAAATTTTGAAATGTTTCTAAACCACTGTTCAACACATATGAAGCCTCATTTGCTGAAATTACATGATTCACGGGTTTGAAATAAGCTCCGAACCACTGATTAGAAACAAACGATTCATAAATGTTTTAAAGCTTCATGTAGCAGTGTTTTCGAAACCCCATCACTAGTAATCATTATAGTTATTGATACAGTTTTTGTTCTTGGTGTGCATAAATCTTTAGCCTTGTTATTCCTCCCTAATATAGCTTCATAGCTGGACCGAAGAGACAGGCATGAATGATGCTAAATCAAAGTCTTGATTAAACTGTAGTGCTATCAATCAAAGCACTTGGCACATCGTGATGCTCACAATAAGCAACATCTTACTGTTATCCATCTATAATCAGAGCTATAAGTCATTTTAACAGCTAGCTACTAGGCATACAGCCACAGATTCTCCACCGCCTCTGACCGTGTGGTCCAGATCGCACCAGAAAGCTGCTCTCAGCTCTAAAACCAAAGCATCTATTAATGCTGCCTACAGTAACTCTACACCCTCCCTCCCATGTCTGTCCCAACCCCCATCTCCTCCTGCACTAAAGCAGACGCCTATAATAAGCACCATGCACGCTGTTAAGGAAGACTGCTTGATGTCTTGCTCATACTTCCTCTCCATCCTCTTCAGGATCTATTACTGAAAGAATCATTTTTAATATGTAACCATAACCCGTGCGCTCAGTCACTGGGTCAAATGTTCGAGAGGCTCTTCACCAATGCAGGAATGACTCTAGATGTTAATCTGCTAGAGGACACTCTCCATTAGTATTTATTATACTTGCTTGAGTGCTTCACATTGCTGGTTGACTGCACTGGTCGTCAGCAGTCATGCAACGTGACTGTGACCCACTGCACTGTGAAGCTGACCTAAATGTAAGTTGACACAATAACTTTTGTGACACTTTTTTTTCAATGTCAAAATAATTTCTCCTATCACATCCAGTGTTATTTGAGTGTTATTTATATACTATTACATTATTTATTCATATTGAATTTGATTATTTATATTTTTAGTTTTCATCTTAATTTTAATTTTGTTTTGTGCTTGTAATTTTTTTAACATTTCTATTTTGATAATTTATTTATTTATTTTATTTTAATTAATTTAATTTTAGGAATTTATCAAACTCATTTATTTTAGTCAGATTCATTACATTTAAACTTTATTTCAATTACTGAAAATTATTTTATTTTTTTTATTTTTTTCCCCCAGTTTTAACACTGATTCCATCTCACTGTCAGATTGACAACTATAAGGGAACCATTTATAGGTTGAATATCGGCTAACTTAAATTTCAGCCAGTTCCTCACACAAAGCCAACATACAGCACACTAGTCATATGAACTACTTTTATGGTGCATTTATGTCCTTCTAGGATGAAAAGTGACCTCTTGCTTGCTTTCAATGAGTGGAAAAGAGCATATGAACGTCATGAGCAAATAAGCAAATGATACCAAACTTTTCCATTTTTGGATGAACTAGCCTATTCCTTTAACATTAACCACCTGTTTTCACACTGCAGGGAAAAATCTAACAGGTACGGGTTTCATTCATTCAAATTCAAAATCAAAGCCACAAACAGCATGAATCCCTGAGGGAATGAAAGCTCAGCATCTTCAGAAAGATAAGGGTGTTTCTAATTGAAAATATGCTTTCTGTCACAAGTGGATGCATCCATTTGTTACACCTGCATCTAATACACATCTTTTCAGCAGAGTAGCTTAATGAAATGTAGCTCACCTGGGTGTGGCTTGTGTCCGAACAGCTCCAGAATGCAGAAATCTCAGCGTGTGATTGGCTGTCACATCTCTCTTGTGCGGACTGGTTGAGAGGTGGCGGAGGCGGGCCCTCACAACCATCAGGACCAATGAGAACTGATCTGCTAGAGATAAAAGCATAATATAAATATACTCTGAAATATATATGCTACGACATCATGTAGATTACTGACTATATTTGATTACATGTTCATAAACACGTTCACACTCACAATGATTCTGTCGCTAAAAATGTATCACGGCAATGATTTTGATGCATTTTTTAAATGGCCAAACGTGTTTCCTAAGAATTGTTTTCAGATTAGTTTGGCTGTTTTTTTTTTTTACCCTATTTTACTGTACTTCTTGCATTCATTTGAATCTACTTTGCAGCGATGACCGCTTGGTTGAAATGACATTTCAGAGCAAATACTTAAGCTATTTTTGTTACTAGCATCTCTGATTAACAAGTGGTGTAAAACTGGTGTCGCTTGCGAAATCCCAATGATGGCGCCGTGGGTGTAAATTTACAGATTAAGGGGCGTTTATTATAATGAGATCCCTTTGCCACGTCACCAAGGGAGCGAATTCAGACGCGCTCATTTTTTCAGACGCTTGCAGAAAAAGGCTTACCAAAACAAAGTTACTGGGTTAATCTTTTTCACGTTTCCTTGGTTGGTAGATGCACCGGGGACCTGATTATAGCACTTAAAACCTGGAAAAGTCAGATTTTTATGATATGTCACCTTTAGTGGATGTTTCCATGTGGCATTTTTCACATGTTAAAATGTTTTTAGTTAAAATATATATGTGAATAATATAATAATATGCAATATGCAATGCTGTTTATTATCATATATAGTAATATTGGTACATTTCAATAAAAATGATTCACTGGTATTCTTCATGGTGTTATTTTAGTGAAAATCAGTGTAGGAAACATAATCATGGTGACTGTTTGGATTAAATTATAGCTCTTGATAGGAAAATAAACACACACACACGCACACACCTTGTTTTCAGTATCATTTCAGTGCAATTACATAAATATTGAGACAAAGGTGGAAAATATTGAGACATTACAGTCTTAATTGACAGAGCCATAGCTCCTATATCATCTGAAATACAAAGGACAGACTTTTTGGCTTTGTGTGTAACTGAACACTTGGCCTGCATCAGAATCAACAAATCACAATAATGGCGCCGTGGGTGTAAACTTACAGATTAAGGGGTGGTAATATTATAATGAGATCCCTTTGCCACGTCACCAAGGGAGCGAATTCAGACGCGCTCATTTTTTCAGACGCTTGCAGAAAAATGCTTACCAAAACAAAGTTACTGGGTTAATCTTTTTCACGTTTCCTTGGTTGGTAGATGCACCGGGGACCTGATTATAGCACTTAAAACCTGGAAAAGTCAGATTTTTATGATATGTCACCTTTAGTGGATGTTTCCATGTGGCATTTTTCACATGTTAAAATGTTTTTAGTTAAAATATATATGTGAATAATATAATAATATGCAATATGCAATGCTGTTTATTATCATATATAGTAATATTGGTACATTTCAATAAAAATGATTCACTGGTATTCTTCATGGTGTTATTTTAGTGAAAATCAGTGTAGGAAACATAATCATGGTGACTGTTTGGATTAAATTATAGCTCTTGATAGGAAAATAAACACACACACACGCACACACCTTGTTTTCAGTATCATTTCAGTGCAATTACATAAATATTGAGACAAAGGTGGAAAATATTGAGACATTACAGTCTTAATTGACAGAGCCATAGCTCCTATATCATCTGAAATACAAAGGACAGACTTTTTGGCTTTGTGTGTAACTGAACACTTGGCCTGCATCAGAATCAACAAATAAATCTGCATTTCTGCACTAATCCTGATAGATTAATCTATTTCCTGTGCTGAGCCTCCAGTGCAATGCTTGTCCATCGAGCGCGCTTTATTAACATTTCAGAGAGTGTATTTCTGTGACTTTCACTCCAGTGCACATGAAATCATGCGATGGCGGCACTCATGCAACAGTCACGAGAGCCATCCTCAGGCTGTGTCTCCCTGCGTTTGCGTCGCATACGTCTGAGGCTCTTTAGGCCTCAAAGCATCTGCAGGGCTTGTGATGTCAGCAAACATACATCTCGACCCCCTGGGTGTGATTTCAGTTTCTCAGTGCCGGGTATCTAGCTCATGTCGACTGCAAGACTCATGAATAATGAATTCCAATAATACAGCTACTGTACTTGAGCAAGACTACTGCGAGAGGAAGGTGTGATAAAGACAGAGATGGAAGAAACAGAACAATGGATGAAGTGTTCCCATACTGAAGAAATATCACAATGAAATCTCTTTAATATCTCAATACAGCAATGAGATTCAATGGAGAACAAATGGAGACATTTTCTGCTTTTTAGAAGAATGAATCTTAGAACAAGAGTTTCAGGAGTGATCTCAACAAAGCAAATGCTGAACAAATTGCTTTGAAACTTTTCACTCAGAAATTGCTAGTAAATCTCACAAATATTTATAAAGAAATGTAAAGTAACACACTGAATTAAACATGAAATTTAGAAGTGAAAGACTAAACCAAACATACTCAAATATTATGATATATTTACAGCTTCGAAGAATCATTTTTTACAGTGAAGACAATAAAAAATTATTGAATATAATTAATATTAGCTATAATATCTGCATTAAATTTGATAGTTCCATATTCAAAATTATTCAAAATTTTTTTTCTTTTTTTTTCAAATTTACTTCAAAATTAAACCACTATTTTTATTTGTGTTCATTATTTTCTTTCAATATATAAAATAGTAACAATAATAACTCTTACTCTATGTTTTTATTTCTCTCAAAGCAACATAAATTGCCATTTGTAACCCCTTTTCTGAAACTGGAAACATTGTAGGGACTTGATTTATGGAGAAATGGAGTCAGACCAAATAAGAATTTGCTGAAATAATGCCTCTGATGATGTCTGCATAAATGAAAAGCCTTTTTGGAAGAGGACAAATTATTACATTTAAAATTATGAAGACATTTTCCTTTTTTGGAATAATAAATCATTAACAGGAAGACCAGGAACAATCTTGATTTCATATGGACCTTTAAGAGAAACAGATGCTTCTGTGAAACATACATGAGACCATCTACTTCTGCAGTTTTCTTCTGGGTTGACAAAAGAAAAGGTAAAGAAGGAGGAAACAGACATAAAAAGCAAGAGATAAAACAATGAAAGAGGGGACGAGGATGATTTGGAAAAAGTTTAAATGCATGTGAAAGATGTGAAAACTAGAGAACTTAAACAGAAGGACTACGAGAAACAGCTGAGCGGTGCGGCGCAGCACCTTGCCGCAATACAGCAGAATTCCTGCTCAGCAACAAATCTGTCAAGAAGCAGTCAATGAGAAACGGGCAAATAAACAGGCCAGGCGTGAGTCTGTGAACCTGTGCTACTCGACCCGTGTCGCAAGAGTTGCATCAACAGTCTGGCTCTCCAAAAATATTCTATTTTTATGCCTATTGAACAGCGTGACACTGTAATTTTCAATCACCCCATAGAAACAGCATCCCTTTGCCCTCCGAGAATAAACTGGTGGAAATGTGGAAACCGTATCAGTGTCTTCGTGATCATTGGACTACACAGACACAATCAGTCCCCAGGGAATCAATAGCGATCGTGTCTGCGAAACGGAGAGTTTATCTCCTATCCTATCTGACTGGGACAGAAATGGATGTTTGCTTGTGACTCTGACATTTACAGCTCTCATTAAACTGCTCCTAAAGCAGTCGAAGGAAAAGGGCTACAAACGTCCAGACCCAGAAACGAACACGAACAAAATGAGGTCCAGCCTTTTCACACACAAAACCAAACACCATTACAATTCGGCATATATTTTTTGTCCCGCACAGATTTTGAACAGTAGTCTGTATATGTTGGTAGGGTTTGATATAATTAGTTGTCAGTTGAAGTTAATCATTTGTTTTGTGGTGATATTGAGGATTATGAATTTGGTTTTGGTTTTAGTTTTAGCTATGTTAGCACACATGCTCATTGGTCAAAATACCTAGAGCTGTGGTGCTCATGTGGAAAGCACAGTTCCAATCCAGCTTGCGATATTTTTATGATCCCATTCCCTCTATCTCTAATTTCCTGTCCTATCTCTGTAATCTTTTTATTAAACGTACAGATCAAGTTTTATTTGAGATGTTTTATGGATATGAATGATACTTAAAGTTGTGTGGCTAGTTGACTATGCAATAGAGCGCTGCAGTGATTATGTATTTTTGTGAGCCAACCCCTATGTTAGCATCATCCTGGATCCCTTGACAAAAACCCAATTGGATTTTTCCATTGGTTTCTGGATTATTGCAGAAAATAAGCTGTGGGCAACAAAAATGTATGATTCTTAATTTTGAAGCTAAACATTGGCTATGAATTAAATACACCACAGTCGCATGACTTCAATGTCACAATCATTGAGCAGTTTCGGTCTTTATTCAAAAATAATTTCCCTTGAAAGTTTAAGTTAGAATAGTTTACAAGAGTGCAATTATAAACACAATGAGGCTGTGAAAGTGACTAGTGAGCAGAACAGTGTTTATCTGTTCGGTTTGATGACGTTTAATGTCCCCGACAACCTCTGAAGTCCCATTTAGCCACTTGTTAGCAACCGCCTTTTTCAAAAAGCTTTAAAAAAAATAAAACACAAGGGGGTGTTACTAATGTATTTTGTGGTAATTAATAAATTGTGAAAATATCTTAAGCTTGTGTTCACCACTGACCTTATTTCAGTTAAACTAAAACTAAAAACCCATTCAAAAGACCCATTGCCTTGGGGATGAAGGAACCGGAAATGCTAAAATGCTAACTTGTTTCCGGGTGGTCTATAAAAATACATTATCCCTGCATCTCTCTATTGGATTTTTAAAACTTAAATTGTATTTTGATTGATTATGGGAAAAACACACAGAATTCAAGAAAGAGTACTGCATTAGAAACTACCTAGCAACCCCTAAGCAGTAAGCAACCACCCCAAACACAATCGCAAGTCGCAACTGCATTAAACTGCATCAGAATGCTGAACACTCTGTCC